AACTCATTTCTGGTGCTTTCACCGAGTTCCATTATTTCCGTGCAGCTCATTTTGCACATTGATGGACGGCACACCGAGAAACAATATAGCAAGAGATGTTATGCAGCGTGTCCATTTCTGTTTTTAGACCTAAAGACCTATCGCATCATGGCAGCAGTTCAGTTGATTGGTTAACAAATATATATTCATTTATATATATACATATATATATAAAGCGGTTAACCAATCAACCGAAATGCTGCAATGATCTTTATATATATATGTATCTATATTTATCTCTTCCAAAGTATATATATTTACATATATATGTGAATACGCTGATGATTATCATTTCACTGTTTGACGAGTAATGATCAATAAGTTGTGAGTGATTAACACTTCCCTTGTGCTTCTGTTAATCATCAAATGGGCTTGGTCTGGTTACATAATAATTAATAATGAATGGGTGCTCGTTGGATTTGTGTCGTCTGACCTCTCATTGTTAAGGTTTCATGCCATGTTAATTTTGATCATCGAATGTTGACCTATGTTAATCGTTATACATTTATTCATGCGTACAAATTTTCTTTCTGAATAGAAGCATGTATTCCATAAGTCTCCCTGATTAAGATTGTTGACTCTGTTGCTGATGAAATATCTTGTATGTTTTAATAGATTAAGCGTTACTCGTGTGTTGTATGGAAGAGTGATATGCTCATTACTGCTTTTGTTCGGGGAAACGTGTGTGATTGTAACACAACTATATGCAGTTACTTATTTAGTTGGAAGATGAGGAAGTATTGTAATGTGTGTGAGTAAATTCTGCCAATGATCAAATTAGAATTGCCAACAATGTGTTCATTTTTAGACAATGAACACAAACTCATATTATATTGAAGGTATTGTGAACATTGCACTGATGTTCGTGGACAATCGGGAATGCATAAGAACTAAGTTACATGTCACTCTTCATAAGTAAAGCATTTCTCATTTGCTAGCAATATATATATCTCACGGACATTAAATGAATAAGTGAAAATAGATACGCAGATGGCTAGCCCCAGATCACCCATCAAGATCAGCAAACCTTCCGCTTGACATCATGCTTGATACCTTCACACTACCGGCTGCCCCGCCACGAGAAGAAACTTAGCAGCAAGCTATTCTTCGTTCTAGAAGGCATCCTCTCATACAGCGGCGAACGACAGTCAAGATTCAAGTCGATCGCAGGAGCACACGCTATTAAAACGGGAAGGAGTGTTGGGCATGTTAGTTCCCCAGAGCTCGCTTGATCAATGCCTGATTTTAGATTTCACGTTTGCGAGCATGGGCTGATCAGTTGACCTTGAGATCACATTTCCCAACAGGAAAATCCTTTCTTGGACAAGCTGTGCCTGATGCATATCTTGAGACCTGCTAGTTGTTACCATTGCCATCTCCTCAGATCACTCAATTAATCTATCTCGCCTATTCCTCTCCCTTGCTTACACTTCGGTCCTCTCTCACAATCTTCACTACCAATTAATAAACTAAATTCATCTATGCATTACTCAGTTCTGAAATTTTATTCATATTACCATTATAATTTTATCCTTATTAGACTTATTACTCTCCACATGGCAACTAACTGATCTCCGGTTTGGTAATGTGACGGGTGCCAGTATCCAGAAACCCTACTGCCCTGAAACAAACGTTTCATTCAAATCCCGAGACATACAAGCTCACAACCAACCGACTAGAATTAGACAGTCGAGTGGCTAGACCTCCATCCATTGGTCATTACCGAACACCTGGAACCGTACCGAACGAACAAGAATCGAGCGCGAAGAAATCAAACTGGTTTACACTAACTCATGAAAAAGATATTGGATTGACCTCTGCGTATTTTAGTGTGCTATTTTCGTAACTGTCCTAAGGACGTTTCTATGATGTATCTATAAACGAGAGTTGTGTGATTGACTGTAGTGATTGCTACTCCTTGTAGAATATACTTTCTACGCTTACCGAGTCTTCTGTTTTGCAGTTTGGGATTCAAGGTAGCCTACCAGGACGTTGGTAATCGTCTCGTTCGCGTTTATCAACCAAGGTGAACTCGTAATTGCTTCAAGCGTAACAAGTGACGAACATAACAACATATACTAAATTTACAGGCTCCTGAGGAATTTAACCAAGTCTTTGGCAAGTATCCATACTAATATTTAAGGATTGGAATAAGGTGCTGAAAAAGAGTAATAAAGAGAAAGGGGCGATGAGCAGAACAGAAAATATTATTGTTTAAAACCGAACAATGACTCAGCAGATAATTTTTTTGATTAGAAAACTAACTGTACACCTGCACTTATGTAATTCAATGAAGACAAGTCACCAGTACAATAACGAATGGGCAATTGATCGTATGAATAGAGGAAATTCAGAAGGACCAAAATGTTTGCAATAATGTTGATGTAGAGAATATAACAATGAGTCACAATGATCTGATGCTTTTTTAATATTTTATTCATTCTTTTTTCTTTTTAGCGCTGCAGCCCAAGAAGTCATGAGTGAGTATCATTGTCCAGATATGCTTGTAATAGGATTTCTTGGTAAGAAGTTAAAACCAGTACAAGGTTGTGAACATGAGTCGTAGACGAGGTTATCCAACTGAACAACCTTTTACAGAAAATATGTTAGCAATTTTAACGTTTTGATCTTGCTTGTCAATTGACATGCATCTTGTGACATGTCGTTATTTGAGAATAAATTATTATTATTATAACCATTCTGTAGATTTTTACACAGGCCTGGTTATGGTGTTTAGTCCTGAGACCATTTGCAATTACATATGGGGTTGCTTAATTATTCGCCCTCGCAAAAGATCATGGTAATAATAAACCCGAATATCACGATCCTTGAACTTCTACACGCAGTAACTATGTATCGAGTCATAGAGTTCACATAGTCTTGGAACTACTTCTTATCCCGAATAAGTCCACCTTTCAAACAGCTGAGTCTATGTTCTGCTAATTTCTTATTGTTAGGTAACTTGTGATCGTGCCTCCAAGGCAGAGCTATTTGATATTGCCCATTTAACATTTGCACCGAATTTGATATAGCGCTAAATGCTATACGATCTTCCATAGACATCGATGGAGTACGACTAAATGGGTCTTTGAATTCAGTTGAGTACAATTGTTCAAACTTATCCTCTAATTCCTCCTTAGCCGAGAGGTGATTAAGTACGCTGATTAAGTCGCTGGCCTCTGTATGCACTTAACGCCTTCCTCGGTACAAAGCTGAGTATTAATGTAGGCATCACTATTAGTATCTCTCCGTTCTTCCCGCTTCTCATGCAACAGGGTATGGAGTCACCAGCCACACCCTTCAACAGCACATAAACTCGGTGATCGACAATGTTTTGCTACATGGTTCGCCTTCAGACAAACGTCGCATAACTTTGCTTAAAGACGAATTCTTTCCTTTCTCCAACATTTTTGTCTTTAAACCTCCGGCATTGATCTAAAGAATGATTGCTTGAGCACTCTAGACAGGGTAAATTACGTAAGGACGCACTGCCATCGTTAGTGCTCACATATGCTATCCCTGCTGTGTTGTAAGTTGCACTAGTTTTCCCCTTAAAAACGCCGAAATCCCTTTTGTCACTATTATTGCTGCGGTTGACAAGCAGCCCGTATCTAGTATTAACTATATCTGACAGTTCCTTTAAAAATTCACATAGGTTCTTGAATAAAGGCTCGTTACCCGTCTTGAGAATTCAACATGCTACTTTAACCCATTCCCTCTGTAGGTATAATGGGAGTTTTAGAAACATGCATTCGATGGTTTTTGTAGAATTAAGATCAGATAGAGTTCATTTGTGTCAGCGTTAGCTCACAAATATGCATCCCACGAGCCAGATTTCTTAAATTATCTGGATCAGTCCCCTTAATGGCAGGGATGTTCAGCATCTCATCGATAAATGCATGAGCTGCTATGTGTTTCCGACCGAATGTTTCCTCAAGAAGCTCTAACGCTTTACGATAGCCTTCTTCTGGTTCAAGCAATGAACAATAGTAGCCTTAGCTTCACCATCACAATACTGAATCAAATAGTTTAACCTAGATCGAAATCCAACGCTTTCATCAAAACAGTCTTTGAAATTCCGTATGAAACTCCAATAGTTGATGGGATTACCATCAAACCTTATGGTTTCTCTCTTGGGTAGGTCTAAAGCTTTAGATATCATTCTTATCTAGTCCTTTCCAGGATTGATATCAGCTGTACGTGAGGCAGATGTAGACTCGTATGACCTAACCTTGTCATTCACAACTTGATTACAATATTCTCTTCCCTTTTGACGTAACCATTCCAACTCAATTTCTCTTTCTGTCTGAGTCAGACGTACTTAAGCTAATTCTTACTCTAACAAGGGATCTATTTGGAAGCTATCTCTTCCAAACTGGTATTCACTATGAGTTTCCGAGTAGTGGGGAGGCAATTCAGGAATCTGATCAGTTTTATGATTCTCCGTGGAC